TAGTAGTAGTAGTGTTGTAGCAGCAGCAGCAGCAGCCGCAGCAGTTGCAGTAGCAGTAGCAGTAGCAGTAGCAGAACGCAGTAGCAGCAGCAGCAGCAGCACTAGTAGTAGCACTAGTAGTAGCACTAGTAGTAGTAGGCCGTCGTCGTCATCGAAGGACGACGACTCGTTGTCTTCGTCCGCTTGGGTGTCCTGGTCCTGGTCTACATGTATTGGTACCGATTGTCGTAAGACAACTGCGACTAAACAACACTGCCGTCAGCGAGTGGAGATGCTGCGGAGGCTGCCAGATCTAAAATGCAGAGCACAGAACCACAGAACATCGGTGAAAGGCCGTAAACTGACGACATACTGCGACCCCGAGCTGGTATAAAGCATCTGCACCGATTGGCATTTCTGTCTCAGTTTCTGGCACAGTGGGTCTTTGCCTCCTGCATATCAGATCGCAGCATGGCCTTCAACCTCGGCCGGATCCATGGCTGCTGTCTGCCGTCGGAACCGTAGAGATATATCCTCTCTGGGAAGTGGGAGGGTGGAGGACTTGAGGGACCGGGTCTCCCGACACCGGACTTTGCAGTTGAAGGACAGCTAGGTGGGCCACATCCACCTCCAAGGATCCAAAGGGAGACTCGTGCTGAGGTCGGCAAGATGGTAGCCGCACATTACGATTCAGCTTTCAGGTTTGCGTTCGTGGTACAAGGTTGTTGGCACGACTCATGAGGGTTTGCGGATTCGTTCAAGCTGTCAGTTCTTCGGTATGTCGCCGGGAGCCTCCGACTTCGTTTCTGCAGATACAAAGCTTCATTTCATCATGCAAACCGTGTGGGTCTCGTTCATGTCGCATGGCACCGAATTTCGGTGTATGTACAGCGCGGTTTCTTTTCCCATGACGGCCTCTACAGTGTATAGGCTCAAACATAACACTGTTGCAGAAGTAGTATTGCTTCAGCGGGGAACATGCTTCCCGGTCCCGAACAGATTTCCGATCGCGTCTTCTCTGAACATTGTAAACCTCTTCCAGCCTTAAGTTTGGCAAGATCATGAGCATCCTCTCCCTTTGCAGAATCGGGTCTCTGTCGTTAGTCACTAGTGACTAGCAGACATGGCTTTGTGGATGATTTGAGCGTGCTCCTGAGGCCCAATGGAACTATCAAACTGGAGGGTTGAAGGACGTTGACGAGCATCTCCGGACCCCCAAGAAAATATCTTGAGGGCAACCAGATCGTTCGCACTTGCACTCGGCACCCGTTTCTACTTCCGCTTGCACACACAGCCCGCAAAACAAGTTCAGCCAAACCGGTTCGTCTATGGACTCAACAAAATACCCTCGCACTGCGTCGTGTCTTATGTCACCTCGCTCAGATTGCTACTCCGCTCGCTGGCCTCCGAGCCACTGTCTTCGCGCCTTGGCAGCGCGACACAAAAACAATTGTGCGGGTCATGAGGAGAGGAAGCGGCAGGTTTGCTGTCCCAGTATCAACGTCATGCTGGTCGGGAGGACTAAACGAAGACAAGCTCAGCCAGCCAACTGTGCTGGCGATTTGTTGACATCGTCCTGCTTCAGTAACCAGTGGCCTACCCCATGTCAGATCAAGATGAAGGCTGTATACCTGTAGCATCCTGTAGCATCCTGTAGCTCCACCGGCCCGGCCCCCAACATGTCAATCTGCACACGACACGTGTCCCTGTGGCCAAGAGCCTGCGGGGAGCAACCTACTGTACTTCACTACAGAACTGGAGACCATACACTACTACCACTGCTTCGCATTCTTGGGGAACATGCTTTCAATAACCACTCTCGGTGTCAAGGGTATAAGTAGTAATTAAGAAGCTGTTTCCGGGACCCTCTGTTCAACTAGATTGCACGAATGGCCAGGTGTCAAGCTTACAGATCACTACACCAGGACGGCGACGTACGAGTCTTCACTTTGCAAAGCCTGCAGCCTCCAGCTTCCGTGACAGCTGTTGTTCGCCCAGGTTGTAAGAAGTGGTGGACTACAGTGTGACTAGAGTCCAGTTGCCACAATGCCTTGGAGATGACTGTCCAAACATTCCCGGATGTACAATAGATTACAACAGCAAGTGAAAGAAATACGACAGACTGCAGTGTCAGTGTCGGCATGTTTCCCGTCCCTGACAAGGGGGCCTTGCACAAACACGGCAGGTGACTCTTTTCTCAGAGATTTGCGCGAGCTCATGCTCGATGTCTTCATGATCATTGAAAGACGCGTACAAAGCCACGTTCGCTCCAGCAAATGGGAGGATCTCCTGCGAAGCATTTAGGGTTGCTGGGTCCCAGCTTGTTGGACTTTGTAAACTTGTGCAGTGATCACAACTCCTGCTGGTTTGGTTTCACCAGCAAACGCTTCGAAGGAAACGTTGACGGAACTGATCACGAATCTGCACGGAGCACCCTTCAAAAGAGACCCGGCTCCTCGCGAATGCTTGGATGCTTTCGACGAAGGAACTCACGAAAGTCCTTCAGCACAGTTGTGGTGTTTGCCGGGTGTTGCAGCAAACACGTCAGACTCGCAGCTTAGTTGTTGTTGCCTAGGTCTGGATCCGTAGAGTAGAGACGACAAATCCGTCACGGAGCAGGAAGGTGGTTCCTTGGCCTATCAGTGCTGGGTAGGAATCAACAAAAAAGAGTGCTGAGCAGGAACCATTCAAGTTTCATTAAAGAATATGCTTCATTCCAAGACATGTTATGCAAGAGTTGGACGACATATCTCATCTCTCAGCACCAGTCCTATATGTGCCTCCACTACGTGTGTACTGTGGCAACAACGAGAAAGCATGAGAAAACACGAATCTAGACTCTAGACCCTGCACCATGAGCTCCGGCAGCGTCGCAACTGCACGCCCACCAAGAGTCCTGGGGGAATGCTTACTTCAGTCACGTTCGTCTCCGTGTTTTTGCAATGCCCTTCCTGTATCTACTATGAACCACCCCTGTCATCCAGTTTTTAAAAAAGGGTGAAGCTATGTGCTCCCATGTTCTTCGTAAGGTTTGGCCACCACATCAAAAGCAGCCGACAATATCAACGTTTGATCTGGGCAGTCAACATCGGAGACAGGGTGTACAAGAGGATGTGCAGGGATGGCTCATCATCCGCATCGGCCCAGCAATTGCACGAGTACCTGAGTACTGTAATGTCGTGCTTGCGACGTAGCCCTCGTCCAAAAGTGCTACTGCTACCCGTAATGATCATACTCGTAATAGTGGTACCTACAATGCCGGCCGCCTCCCGATGCATTTCCTTTAGTTCGACTCGGAGCACCGGATTGTCTTTGCCACTGCCACCACCACTGCCCTACAACCACAACCACTGCCACTCCATGCAGCGCTTGGTCATTGGCACAACTTGTAGAACATCTGCCAATGTACTCACACCACGCAAAACCAACAGAACATGCAAACCGCATACGCTCGAACATGACGTTACTACCCCCGCCCCCCCCCCGCCCCCCTCCCGCTGCCACTGCTACTGCTACTGCCACTGCCACTGCTGCTGCTGCTGCTGCTACGACTGCTACTAGCCACTACAATCACTACTACTACCACCACCACCACCACCACCACCACCACCGCCACTACTCCTCCTACTACTACTACTACTACTGCTACTACTACTACTACTACTACTAGTACTACTACTACTACTACTACTACCACCACTACTACTACTACTACCACTACCACCACACCTACTACACCTACTACTACTACTACTACTACTACTACTACTACTACGACGACTACGATTCCTGCTGCTGCTGCTACTACTGCTGCTGCTGCTACTACTGCTGCTACTACTCCTACTCCCGCTACTTCTGCGGCTACTGCGACTGCTGTCAGTGCTTCTGCTAGTGGCCATGTTTTTGTTTCGGAATTGGCCGCGCTGAGATCATGGTCTAAGTTTGAAGTGTGGTCTACAGTGCATGATGGGCTGCACGAGGCACGAAATTACGTGGCTGAGGTCGGTATGTATGATCTGCCGAAAGATTGCTAGTCCTTCCCAAGGCTCATCAGATTGAAGGATTGTCTCAAGACCCGGGTCGTCTGAAGTAAGCAAAATCTCTTCGGCTTGCGTTTGATGCCAAGTCTAGGCAGCAGGCAGGATGTCGACGAGGTCGCATAGATGCTGAACAACATCCCAGAGTGGCCAGAGAGCAATCAACAAAATAACAAGACTATCGTTCCGGTAACCCGGGCTACGAATAATGCAAAGAAAGCATGTCCGGCAAAACCCAAATCGCCTGGCTGGGAAAAGCCGCGCAAAGACACCTGGGTCTGGAGCAGCCAGACTTCCAAACTGCAATGGCATGGATTCGACTCAACACCACCCCGACCCACATGGTCCGAAGAACTTGCCTGGAAGGATGCATTGGCAAAAGCTCTGCATGTGGGCATCCCGCCGCCACTACTAAAACCTCAAGTTTCGTTGACCTTGCAACCTGCATGCATCGTCAGGCATCCAGCAGGACTACTGCAGTTCTGCGCGCTGTGAACACCACGGGAGCCCAAACCAGAAGATAACTTGGTTGAGGCCTGTGACCTGACGTATCCCAACAAGCCCCAAAGCCGAGCCTGTTCAAGATAGTCAGTCCGGACCAGGAACATTCATCTGTCTATACACGGCAGGAGTGCAGCATCAAGAAAATTATGTAAACGGAACAGAAATCCCGTATCGGCCAAGCAGCAGCATGGCACAACCACGAAGGGTCGCCGGAGACGAAGCGCGGCGTCAACAACAGCCTCTGTGGCCTTCACCGTCGACTTTTCGGACTTTCAGGCTTGGCAGGGCGCAAGGTGCAGACCAGACTTGTGAGCTTGTTGCTGGACCTTATGCCCAAAACCTAAGCAAGCCCAAGAGGTTCAGCCTGAGCGGCTTGTTATTCCGAGGGTTGCGCCTGAGGTCAATTCAAGCCAAAGCGGAAGGCAGAAGATGCGAAGCATGAACACTTCCGTGTCAGTTGCAATATCTTGACGGGCTGATAGGTTGCCTTAACCTGCAGCATCCACGCTGATGCATCTCGTTAGAAATCCGAAAGTGGGACCGACAAAAAGAGCACGCGGCGGAAGAAGCTAAGCTGTCCGACTGTCACAGGCAGGTGGTCAAACGGCTCAAGTGGTCTAGTAGGGAGGGGCTTTCATGACTGGGAGGATCTAACATGACAGGCGACGGGCCATCAGATTCTCGCATCGCGATAGATCGCCCGTTGTTTCCGCGAACGTTTGGGCCGTGAAGGACGACCAGACACGAACAGCAAGCACAACGTGAACCTGCACAATCAACAAAACACTAGCAGTGATTCTGATTTCCGGCCCCGCAAGTGCAGAACGGGTACGAGCACATACATCTGTATGAGTCACATGCCATCTACATACTATATAAATTGCGTGTGTCTATATTTCTAACTATAACTCATATCTGTACGTGCAAACAACATGCATACATAAATGCACACATACATGTGTAGATGAAGATGTTCGACTCAGAAAGCAGACAGGCAAATACGTGAGAGAACAAACGAGCAGTTACCATGCACAGAGTACAGATGCATGTGCCAATGCATCATGATGTCTCGTTTTATCAGACATCATTTCCGCTCTCGTTCCCCCAGCGTCCAAAACGCTAGCAACCAGGTGAAGGTCTCGCGCCACGACTCACAGTGCTCTGGGTGCCGAGAGTGCCTCGTCCGGGTGTAGTGCCGCCAAGGCAGAGCAGTTGCGAACCAAACCATCCTCTGATTCACAGCATGTCACATCTCTCGCACATCTGTCGACATGCCTTAAGAAACGGTCCCATGGACAAGGCAAATTTCCGAGCAGTGCATGCTTTCTGCCAGTGGCTCACAATACAAGGAAAGCCTGCATCTGATAAGATCAGCGATGAAGCCTAAGGCACTTCGCAAGGAGGCACAGCATCGCCTGATCCGCTAAAGGAGTCGTGGGCACCCTGCGAGATTATGCAGGTCTAACATCAGGGGGCTGAACGTTTCACAGACCCGCGCAGCTCCCTCCCTAGAAGAGGTTGCGGTTGCGACGCGAAGAACCGTCGTGCAAAAAGATACTACTGGAAGCCAAGGAGATCATTGGAACAGGAATAGGCGCCTCCAGCAACGGCCAAGGTTTACAATCCAACCAATGACGGTAATGTTCACCTTTGATTAATAAATGAGGGTGGAACGCCCTCGGGGCCCC